CCAAGACTGAATATGTACTCAACCTCTAAGTTTATATAATTTTCCATAGCATCGTAGTAGTCTGTATATAGAAGTAGAAAAAAGCGGAAAACAGAACTGATCCACAGTTTAAAATGTTCGAATAAAGAGTGACAGTATAACAATGAAGTACAAGTAAAGCTTTCAAGAAAGTTCTTACAGCATTAATATGTGAGGTGATGGTAGTGGAAATTTAATGAAAAAGTGCAGAAAAAAATATTTCTAAGGAGATCTGATAATACTTGCTGGTGGACAGCATCCAGGGAATTATGTAGTCATTGATGCTTGCAAAGATTCAAGTGTAGGTGATTAATAAACAGCAGTACTACTAACAAAGAAAACTTGGGAAATTGAGGTTGGTTTAATAGATTATTAATTCAATTTTAGATATGTTGAATTACATGTGAAGGTAAGGCATCTATGGGTAATAATGGAGCTAGAAATTAGTAAGACAAACAAAACAAGTACAATAAATTAAAAAATACATATGCATTTTAGTTCCATATTGTTATGATAACCTTTTCTGTGCTACTAAGATATGGGGTGCTTAGAAAGAAATCAGATATAAGAGAAATATAAGCAACAGCAGATGGAAAAAAAAGAAAGAGACAGCAGAAAATGGGTAAAGACTGAAATAGGGAAGCATATGTTAAATTGTTTCTGTCTTACCATTTTCTCACTTGCAATATGGACTTCTCCTGTTACTGTTCTTTGAAATTCTCAAAATTTTCCTTTTTTTTTTTTTTTTTTAGTTTTTTGAAACAAGGTCTCACTATGTCATTCAGGCTGGCCTGTAACTCATGGCAATTCTCCTCCCTCAACTTCCCAAGTGCTGGGATTACAGGGGTACGCCACCACACCCGGCTAGATTTTCCTTTTTCTAATGCTCAAATGTTCACTGCTCTCAAGGCAGTAGTTAAGACTGGGTAAATCTACTCTTTGAGCACTACTTTCACAAGCTAGTATAAAATGACTTCCACGACTGGATTAAATTATGCTGATGATTATTCCCCTCCCCAACACCAGATAATTTTACAAAATTATTCTTCTTTCACTCTAATAACACTGAATCTTTAAAGTGATAACATAACCTTCCTTTAATAGTGACAAGAGTGCTAATATTTCTGATAGTTAACTCAGTTCAAATTTGCTGTATGCTACTAAACTGAATACCATTTATTTCAGATACTCTCCACTCAGCATTAGGACAATGTCCTGTTAAAAAATAGAAATTTGTCATTTTCTCAAACATCTCCTACTTTGAGAAGCTCTACTACTTGTATTTCTAATGTGCCTAAATCAATATTCTTTGAGATTCTAGATAAAACCACATATTGAAACTCTTTGGGATATGTTGAATCACATTAAGTAGGAAACTGAAATAATACAAACACAAAGTAGTTTGCTGATTTATATACTAATCTCTATTGAGGTAGGACTGCTTCTGTACCACTTTTATTTCTGATACTGGGAATATAGATGAGTTAGGTCTTCTCTCAAAGATCTTACACTGTAATGAAAGGTAAAAACACATGGAGGGATCCTTACCTATGATGGTTAAAGAAGCACAGAAGATTAGCCTTGAAAGAAGTTAACAGCGACAGCCTGCTACAGAATAAGTAAGAGTTAGCCATAAGAGGGTTGTTGGGCTATTCCAGGCAATGTGGCAGTATGAACAAGGACATACAGACAAGAAATAAGGTAAAGGTTTCTGGAAACCACACGCAGTTTTCAGATACTGACTCACACAGATCATGTCTGGAAGTAGCAGAGGATAAGCCTGGAGAAAGCAGGCAAGAACAAGTAAAGAGCTATGGAGCTTAGATTTTATCCACAGAAGATAGAGAAATAATGAAGGTTTTAAAGAAGGGGGATTACATGGAAATATTTGCATTTTAAGTGAGGTACTCTAATGGTTAAATTAAGGGTGGGTGGAGAGGTAAAACTAGAGGCAGGTAGAGTAGTTAGCAGGTTGTAGCAGTATTCTAGGATAATGTTTCTCAATGTTTATTGAGTACATATCACACAGGGATCTGGTTAAAATGTATATTGTGATTAATACAGTGGATCCTGAGATTATTTTTTTCTAACAGCCTCCCAGGTCATTCCAATGATGCTGATCTCCAACCAACAGTCTGAGTAGCAAAACTCTAGAAATGATGTTAAGGATCTAAGCAAGTGTGCAAAGAGCATATTTGGAGATAAGGGAGCAGTAGTATTTAGGATGTAAAAGTCATGGCTTGGTACCCCATTAAATATAGAAATTAAAGAAGTTGGTACCAGGAACTGGGGAATGTTACAATTTATTATCTAGATGCCCCTAAAAGCCTCATGATCTCATAAGTGGGGATTGCAGAAGGGGACTGAATCTTGGGGGCATGATACTCATCAACTGACTAACCCACTGATGAGATTATAGCTAAACATGATATTGGGAGGTAAAACCTTCTCAGAGGAGGTGGATCACTGGCGGGGTGGAAAAGAAGGGTTTATCTCTCTACCTACTCCTTTGATCTCTTCCTCTGCTTCCTTTCTGCCGTGTTGTGAAGAACCTTCCTTCCTCTGCTAAACTCCCCTGCTTTGGAGCCAGCCAACTATGGACTGAAATCTCTATAAACTGTGAGTCAAAATAAACCTTTCCTCCTGTAAGTTGTGAGTTTCAGGTATTGCGTCTCAGAGGTGAGAAAGTAAGATGGGGAATTCGCAATTAACTACAAGTTTCTACTTTGGATAAGCAAACTTGAAATGGCTTTGAGATATCCAGGTGAATTATTAGCTGCCATCTATATATATGAGTCAAAAGTGTGACAGAAAGATAATAAGCATAGAGATGAGGGATGAAAACAAGAACAGACTGAATTACGTTTGTAAAGTCAAGAATGGAATAATGAAACCACCCAAATCAAGGTAACAAACAAAAAAAAATAGCCCATGTAGAAAACAGATAAACAGCCAGGAACAAAGAAGAATAGAGCTTCAAGATGTTGGAAATAATGTACATTATCACATGATGAAAGAAGGTCTAGTGAGGAAAGAATTGAAAAACAGCAGTGAATTGAGGAAAAGAAGTGGGTGGAAAAGACAATATAAATTACACTAGTAGTGAGAAGTGTAGGGGGGAAATGAATAAAAACATAGTTAGAAGATCAAGTGGATCACTCCAATCAGATCAGCCTTAATACTGTATCTAATTTCTTGCCACTCTTTCTTAGCTCCAAGCCCTTTGTTCACCCTTTCTCTTTCCCGCTTCTATAAATCATAATCATCAAAACCTATGAAGATTATATAGACAATGATATCTCACTCCTCTAGTTACCAAAAATATGTACACAAACATATATGTCTGTAGATTCTTGCAGTAAAGTGTTATTAACCCAACTAGTTTAAGTACTTGCTTCTTCATATAAAAATGGTACATTCCAATTTGTATTCCCAAGAATGGCTATGCTACCACCGAAAAGATACTTAAACCATTCTTAGTGAATAAATGATGTCACAGCATGATACTTATTTAAAATACTTTCTTATGTATCTAAGATAGTATGCAATCAAGGAAAAAATTAATGAACAAATCTTCAGTAGCACTGGAACTAACTAGCACAAAGAATTAACAACTGGGATCTCACTCATCTTATTAAAAAGCTTCTGCACTGCAAGAAAAACCACCAACAGAGCTAACAGACAACCAAAAATGTGAAAAAAAATTTTTACCAGCTGCTCCTCAGACAAAGGTCTACTATCTAGAATACATAAAGAACTCAAAAAGATCAGACCTCCCAAATTTAAAGACCCAATCCAAAAATGGGCATCTGAAATGAACAGACATTTCTCAGGCAAAGAATTAAAAGCAGCAAATAAACATATGAAAAAATGTTTAACATCACTGGTCATTCGAGAGATGCAGATGAAAACAACACTGAGATTCCACCTCACCCCAGAAAGAATGGCTGCTATCAAGAAATCAACCAATAACAAATGCTGGCGGGGGTGTGGAGAGAAAGGAACCTTTCTTCATTGTTGGTTGCACTGCAAACTGGTGTAACCACTGTGGAAAGCAATATGGAGATACCTCAAACAACTAGGATTGGAAGTCCCATTTGACCCAGTTATCCCTCTGCTGGGTGTATTTCCAAAAGAGTTAAAAGAATCATACCACAGTGATATATGCTCACCCATGTTTATAGTGACACAGTTTGTAATAGCTAAAACTTGGAAACAGCCCAATTGCCCATCAACTGGAGATTGGATAAAGAAAATGTGTTTTTTTTATATAAAAGATTACTACTCAGCCATAAAGAATGAGAAACTAGAGACATTTATAGCTAAGTGGATGCACATTGAGGCCATACTCTTAAGTGAAATAAATAGGATACACATGTGTAAATATCGAATAGTTTCTCTGAGAGTGTGAAAAACTAAAAGTATAAATAAGGATCAAAATATTCAACTGATATTGTGAAATAGGAAGAAATGGTCTAAAGGATTAGGGGAAGTGGGAGGGGTAGGGGAAAGAAAAGAAGGGAAAAGAAAAAATACGAGAAAAGGAAAAAATGTAAACAAAGTCTCTGTAAATAGGGAAGGGTGGAGGGGGTGAAGGGAGGGCAGGGGAATGGGGAAAAAAATAAGAACCAAGATACATCATGTAAAGGTACAAGATCCCAATGATGAATGTAACTCTACTGTATATCTAACATGTACCCATAAAATTAATGGGAAAAAATAAGATAGTATGCAATCATATGAGTAACTGTATTTGATTTTTCATTTAATAAGGGCCATGTAAACCATTCTGGGTCTCATTTTTTAGAAAACAAACAGATAAAACTAGATGGACTTGAAAGTCCTTACTTATACAAAATTCTGTGATTCCATGAATACCACCCCTCAGTCAATAAGAATAAAATAACATATAAATAAGATAGGTTATTTTATAAAATTGAAACATGCAATTAAAAGAGTTTTGTGATAATTTTCCTCTTTACCATGTGCATTTGATCTTGGTGGAAGATGTTTCTCTCTTATCTTGTCTATAAACCTCTTCCTAGCTTCATTTCTTTTGTGTTTTTGCCCAGCATAATGCTGTTGGGCCATTACTGGACTATTAAAGGAAGCAGGACAGAGTTTGCAATATGTGCTTTGATTATTCAAATGCAGAGCACTGCCCGAAGAGGATGGCACAGTTCTACTTGGAGGAGGCTTAACAGCAAGGAGCTTCAGGAAAGTTGACTCTGTAGAGGGAGAAACAGGCACACCAGCTGAAATAGTTATTATGACAAGTGATTGACATGTGTTTGGATGTTAGAGCTGCACGCATTTTAAAGTATTAGAGAAATTTGGAATTCTCTAAAAACTCACTCTCCAGACTTTTTTCAGCACAGGAATTTTGGACAGTGCTACTCAAATAAAAAAGAATTTCTTTCTGTGAGAATGGAATTTCAATACTAGTCTGTTACCAAGTTTCTCCAATAAAGACATGGGAGGAAAGAAATATTCTAACTATATTCATTTGAGGAATCAATAAAGGCATGAGAGCCATCTTAGGGTGATTCTTTGAAATCAGTGGGAGTAAAACAGATGGTAGCAACCTCTAAGTTGGTTTCATTGAGTAAAACATTAAGGCATCTATTCTGTCTAAATTCGTGACATTTGAATCAGAATAAAATCTATGCAATTAAGACTATAAAACTACACAGATTTTTCACAATTACAGTTATTCTCCTTCTTAAGGGCAAATCAATAAATTTTTCTCTTGTAGGACACAGTAATTCTGTCCTTTAGATTTATAGGCAGAAAAACAAATATACAACCATTAGACTAGAATAAATTTAAAATTGAATTCTTGTTTCATTTATTAAGAAAACAGTAAGTTTTCATAATATTTTCTGTAGCACTGATTTTTCCTGGTGATGACTATATGTGTGGGAAATTAATGTTAGTGGATTTTCCATGCCATGCATGCCTTAGTACTACAGAAACAAAGCAACTATGAATGTGGTAAATTATTTATTACAGAAGATAATCATTGTTGTTTCTTTTTCATGTAAGCTTTGCAAAACATTATTTGGGTTTTTCAGGGTGTACCCTGTCATCTCAGGCACTTTTAGGCCAGATTTCTCATTATGTACTGGTAGGCCAACATCACTGGAAGAAGGAAAGAGGTAATATTTTATAATTCTTAGTATCTTTTGGGTTTAACATAACACAAATACACAGTAACTATTGTTTGATGATGCTAATGGTACTTTTTCTTTATATTTACAGGTAGAAGGGGATTATCATGGTAGGCGATTCAGTTTCTTTTTATTTTGCCTAAAATTACAGTCAGGAAAGGCTGTACCTGTAACTACATTATGGTAAAGACACTGATCTGAACACACATTTAACATAATGTTTTGCAAAGTCCTATAGTAAAAAAAAAAGTCAAGGGGTAAGAAATAAGAAAGACTTAGGATTTTATAGTTTCATCATAAAGTGACTAAATTCTGGCTCATTATTATTAATAGCCATATAGCAAATCACTTGGCTTTATGTGGATTTAGTAAACTGAAAGGAAAACATCATAACATTTCTTAAAATTCATTTAGTCATTATAATTTCAATAGATAAGGACATAGTGACTAACGGAGTAGAAGAATAATAATCAAATTATTTCAACTGAAGTGAAATTCTCCTTAATAAAAAAAGATGGCAGAGTTGGAGAAAATAAGATAGACCCCAAAGATAAAGAGGTGAAAGGAAACTTACCCATTTCTGGCTGAAATGCTGATGGAGGTACCTGATTACGTTTCTCTGTTAATTGCTTCAGTTTTTTAGCATGAACCTTCCCCATATAGTGAGACTGAGCAACAACTGAGGAGTTAAAAATCATGTTGCAGAGGTCACAAAATTTATCTCTGTCCAGTTCTTCAGTCCTATGTACCTGAAGTAAGCACAATCTTGTTAGAATGATTCAATAACTCAAAGTTTAGAATTACATCAATATAAACCACTCACCTTAAAATTCCTAACATGTATCTTCATTTTCTTACTACGTACTTTATTTTGTTCCCCATGCATTTGAAAATAAAGTCTAACATTCTGAGCATGTTTTTCACTCTGAAAAAAAGATAAAACATGACTTTGTTTATTCAGTAACAATCATTCAAAATTAACACTTCTCTGAGTGGAATGAGAGTACTTATGAGTTTTATTATATTTTGTCCATACTAAGTTTATGAAAGAGCTTCACATGCTTTTAACTCTCTAAATCTCTCTCTCTCTCTCTCTTTTTTTTTTGGTTATCAGGGATCGAACTCAGAACTTCGTGCTTGTGAGGCAGGAGGCAGCACCACTGAGCTAAATCCCTGGCCCTCTAATTCTCATTTAAAATTAAAATAATGCTGCAATACAGAAACCAATAATTTTTAGGATCTTGTTTTTTTATAGAGACTTCCAGTTGCTACCCCATACTAAATGTTTTATTTTTCCTTAGTTACAAGTCTTGGGCAATGTAAACATTATACTTTCCAGCTTTTTTCAGCAAAATGTAGTTATGTGACTAGATGATGGCCAATAAGATATACTTTGGGGATGTTTGCCTAAAAGACTAGGGGATAAGCCTTTTTTCTATCTTGCTTCTGGAATTAAGACGCGAAGAATGGAGTTCATCTTGAACCATGGGTAACTTTTAGGACAAAAGGCAGTTCATTAGAGCAGAAACACAGAAAATGCCTAGGTTTCTCATGATGTCACAGAGCTGTCATATCACCCCATTTCTCAAATTATTTTTTGTAAGGAAATAAACTATCTTGAGTTCAAGCCACTTTAGGACAAATGTATCACCAAATGCATAATACCCAAGATGTCTGGTGTATGTAGAAGGGAAACTAACATTTCCTGAACATGTTGAGGTAACCACTCTCTTTATGAATTTAGTTTTTGAGACAGGGTCTTGCTATGTCGTTTGGGCTGTCCTTGAACTCACTATGTAGCCCAGGCTGCCCTTGAACTTGTGGCAATCTTCCTGCTCAACCTCCCATGTGCTGAGATTACAGGCATGTGCCATCATGTCCGGCTGGAATTTTAAATTGTGAAATATATTTATCATGAAGAAAGAACAGGAAAGAATATGGCCGAAGCCCCAAATCCACCCATCTAGTTTCAACAGATGCCTGAATTTTGCTCTATTTCTTTCAGATCGCCTTTTTAAAAGTGGTAAAATTTTCAAATACAGTCCTTTACCACAATCTTTTCCTCCTCTCTTTATCTCCATAGATAAAGCTGAGGTGTATCACTTACTTTCATGATTTTGTTTTTTTCCTACTTGTTATGGTTTGGATCATAAATGTCCTCCAAGAACTCATGTGATGAAAGTTTGGTCCTCAGCTCATGGTGCTATTGGGAGATGGTAGATACTCCAAGAGATGAGGCCTATCTGGAGAAAGTAAGTGAGGAGCATGCCTTTGCAGAGTGTACTTTGTTCCTGGTCTCCTCCTCTCTTATCTCCCCCTCCCTCACTCCCTCCTTCTTGTCTGACATCAGGTAAGCAGCCTTCCTGTGCCATGGTGTTCTGCCTCATCACAGGCCCAGAAATAATGGAGGTAGTTGAACATGGACTGAACTTGAGACCATGAACCAAAATAAACCTTTTATTGTTTATCTCAGATATTTGTCACAGTGATGGAAAGCTTATACACTACATATGCAGATACCCATAAAGTTTATGTAATGCTGACTTTTACAAAATTACAAACACCGAACCATTCAAAACTGTTATGGCTTATATCTAAATGTCATCCTAAAGCCCCGTGCATTCATAAATGGGGCTTTTGGGAGGTGAATGGAAAATGGGTGTGCGACACTCATCACTGGATGAGTCCACTGATGGGTTTGGTTTTTTTTTTTTTTTGGCACTGATGGGTTTATAGTTGGGTGTGATGTTGGGAGATGAAGACTGGTGGGAAGAGTTGACTCACTGGTTCACTGTGGGCATGATATATGTATCCCACTTCCCTTGACCACTCACTGCTTCTTGCCTACTTTGCTATATGCTCTTTCTCCTCTCTGGGAGACTCTGCCATACTACCCTTCCTTGGATCCAGCCAACTATGAACTGAAAACTTTACAACCTGTGAGCTAAAATGAACCTCTCCTTTTTTAATTTGTGGGCATTGGCTATTTTGTCCCGGCAATGAGAAAGTAAAACACATATATATCCTTTTGCAAATTGCTTCTGAGACCTCAATATTACATTTCAAATATTTATCCATATTGATACATACACCTGTAGTTCATTCGTGTTAGATATTGTATAATAATCTATTCCAAATACTAACCCATCCATTCCCCTATTGAAAACAGTTATGCTTCTGTTTGTTGTTATAAGCATTGCTTCCATGAACATATGAAAACATATTACCTAATATATATGTCCAAGAGTTTCTTTAGAGTAGATATCTAGGTCTTAAATTTTGGATCATACAGTATGTGGATTTTCAACCTTATAAGTTATTGTGAAATCCTGGAAAACTTTACACCATCAAATGCACTAAGTATTTCTGTCTCTGTGTATTCTTCTGAAATGTTAAGTTGTATTACATTTTATTGTTTGCTAGTATATTATGGATTTTATATGATAGTTCATTATCACTTTATGTTGCATTTCCCGTATGATCACTAGTGAAATTGGGTATCTCTTCTATAGCCCATTCATATTAATTTTTCTTTTTCTTTTGGATCCTTGTTCTAACTAATTTATAGTCCTTTATATATTTTAGACATTAATCCTTTGGGTTAGAAATACCACCCGATCAGTGATTCATCTTTTATCTTACTTTATGAATTTTGTGTCATATAAATTTTCCTTATAGCTATTATGACTTATTATAAATAGTTGTAGATAGTAAATAGTTGTAGAAATAGTTGTAGAGATAGAAAAACCAATACAATAAAACAGAAAAATGGCATCAAAACAGATCAACATATGTGGAAAATAATACATGATACAGGTGTCACTACAAGTTAGTGAAGCAAGGTTGGACTATACAAGAGGTAATACAAACATATGGTGAATGCTTACATTTAAAAACACCATTACAGCAAAAGATACATTGCTATTAATTCCCATCAAAATACTTGCCATGGTTTGAACATATTTATCTCTTTGTTCCTGTCACTCTCTAAAGTAGTTCTGCAAGTGCTCTTTCGTGAGTATCTTTACTGGTAAAAAATACAGTGAATGTTGTGACCCAGGAAAGGCAGGCTTATAAAAATATGTTGTGTCCTCATCCACCTCATTCACTGGAGCTAGCACCATGTGAATTCTTCAAAGTCAAAATGACCGTGAATGGTAAATATTTTGAGCTGATTCAGAACATTGAGGCAGCCACAAAGTGCAAATAAAGACTCTCATGAAAGAGGACTTCCAGAACGGCTTTAGAAAGTGGCAAGAATGATCGGGTAAGTGTATTCAAAGTGATAGAGAATACTGTGAAGGGAATTAAGGGTAATGCATCTTTTACTGCAACAATTTTTAAAAATTTAAACGTTTTTCATATTGTTTATCATGCCTCATATAATAAATAGTTTTGGTTACATCTGGCACCCATATGAAAATATGTTATCATCTTCCACACACAAAAATTAATACCAGGTGGATTAAATATTTTAATGTATGAAGTAAAACTTTTCAAAGTTTAGAAGAAAACAGAAATATCTACATGACAAAAGTGTACGGGTTGTTTTCTCAAATACAAGCATAGATACAAAGGGAGATATTGATAAATACAACCTCAAAATTCAATAATCTTATTGAATTGTCATATTTTACATGTACAATGCTACCTTGAGCTCTATACCTTGAGCTGTATAACCAAGCTGTATATAAAAGAGAAAAACAGTCATGCTTTTAAAGTAGAACATTTACATAGAAAAATTTTCAATTATACAGAAAGTCATGTATAGTTTTGATTTGATGATTTAATAGGCTCAACAACCTAACTGCAAATATCACTGAAATTTCATTTTGCTGGGGTTTTTTAACAATGAATAGCACCAAAAGCTATTTTTGAGATTTAAATTCAAATAGTTCTGACTGCAGTTTTCACAGAGCCACTGGTCACACTTTACTAATTCTAAATATTTGATTTATGGGGTCTGAGAAAATGTTAATCACTCTTCAATGTCTGATTTCACTTAATTCTCACATGTGTAGAAGAGATTTTGCTACCTCCATATTTTAGGCTCCAGAAATATGTCCAGAAAGGTGATATGACTTGTCCAGTTACACAACTAGTAAATGGTGGAATTATGACTTGAGCTTAGTTCTTCACAACCCTAGCCAACACAATTTCCCTATCAGTAAATATAGTAATATAATCTTCATCAATATAAAGACTAAAATATAGTTACCAATAAGACTAGATATGGCAAAACTAGATGAGGTGTTTAAAAAAGTAGAGCTGGTAATACAGTTGTTTGAAGAACATATATCTAGTACTTCAGTAATCTAAATATCAGATATGAAATAAATTTAATGTTTCATCAGACAATGCAGAATGTGAGGCAATGATAAATAAAAAGAAAGAACACAGCCTATGAAATTAGGAGAAATCATTTTTAGGCTTAATCATGCCAATAAACAACCACAAAAGAATTACTCTGGATCTGTTTTCTAATCTATAAACTAAAAGAGTAAGAAAAGTATTCATATTCTCACGTAGAACTAAAATTTTATAATTGAGTGCCCAAAAATATGTGGTTAATTTAAAGGCAAGACTATTTTATTTTGTTTCTATAGTTTTCATTTATGGTAAATGAAGACTCTGGTAGTTCTATAAGATCTTTTATTCACATTTATAGCTTCCTATGCAAGTATGATACTGCTTGGCTTATATTTACTATAAGAACAAATGATACAGTGACTTAATAAATACAAGAGGAAGCAGGATGGTGCAAAAAGAAAAAAAGCTTTGGAGTCAAAACAACTTGAGTTTAAATCTGAATTCATCAAACTTTAAAGTAATATGTTACCATCTCTCTGTCTGAGCCAGGATTCTCAAATATCAAAGGGAAATAATACCACCTATTTCAGAGGATTCTTGTAATAATCAAATAAAATGATTTATATGAAGTTCATTTTTGGCACATTTAAAAACTTGCTTTCAATCTAGTCTCATTATTCTTCACTGACCTCATAATGTGAAATCTTTTGTGAGTTGAACTGCAGCACCACTCCACATACTTGACAAAAGTTATCTGTAAAAAGTTCAGTCTTTTCTTCTTCATTCCAAGTGGCATCTATGAACAAAGTAAGATGAAGTAAGATAATATAGCTCATTAATGAATATTTGGAAATATTTTAATTCCTCAACCATATATTACTTCTCTTCAAATTTGAGTGTTTTTTAGGCTATAGTAATAACTTGTTTCTCAAGTATGCAATTTTATACGCAAATATTAAGTATGCCTCTTATGTCTAATGATGGAAAGGGTTATATTCATTTAGGATGGTAAGTCTAGGTGATGACCCTCTTAATAAAGGACACAAGAACATTAGTAACTTCATAAGCTTTACAGAATGACTTGGGTAATCAATAATGAAAGGGTGAATTAAAAGCCCCAGCCTTGATATTTTGCGTTTTATGGCACAAAAACCTAAGAAATGTATTGTCTTAAGACTGTCAATTACCTTGAGATATAGTTCCAATATTGTCTAAAAGTCACATGGAACCACAAATCATCTTTGTCCATGATGGGTAAACATCCTGCATCATTGTATAAACACTAGGGCATTCATTTCGCTAAACAAATATCATATAAGCCCCCTAAAGATATAATGTTCATATATAATAAAGTCCAGAAATTTATGTGATAGGATTTTACACTGTAATAAGTAACTCATGCCAAATATTTTTGTATTTACACTTAAAGTCCTCACTTTTAACTGATGTCTTTAATAGTTTCAACATACTGTGCCAAAAGCTGGTAGTTTACCTACAGGATATAAGTCACAAAACATCAAAATTTTGCTCTCCAGTGCTTATCATCCCATAGCAACCTCAATCTGAAAAACTACGTACCCATGAAAATACCTTCACAAGCACTAAGGAAACCAGGCAAGCGATTACAGTACTTTGGTACACCACAGAAAGAGGGTACACTGAAGAGTATAAGAAGGTCAGTTTTGTGTTACCTGCATCACCCCTCCCCAAATCCCGGGTGACATAGCGTAAAAAGCAATAACTAGTGAGTGAAGGAAGAAGAGGGAAGAGAGAACCAGGCTTTGTCTTGAACGTCAACACTGGGTCTACCCACCCCAGTAAAACCTAGCAGGAAGCAGGTCTCCACAGCCCCAGACTAGAGACTGGCAGCTGCAGAATGAGCCTTCATAGCTCCTCTGGTGTCAGTCCAGGTACTGCTACCCCAGGCCAGAGGTCTCTGCAACAGACTCGGTCTCCAGGCTGTTCTAATGCCAGTTCAGCCTCAGTGGCCTTGGACTCTGAACAGCCCTTAGTACCATACTGGCATCTACTACAGCATCATGCTTTAGGCCAGGCCTAAAATCAGGTTGATTCCTGCAGCCCTGGGCATCAGGCTCACGCACATGGACCCAACCCTTAAACCAGATGCTGTGGATACTGGCTCTAGTTCTGTACCCATTGACTGAGCTGTTAAGCATGCCCCAGTGCCAGCCAAGATCCTGCAGCCCCAGGGTAGTCCCTGTAGCCTCACCTTCCGGTTTGGTCCCTGTAGCCCCATTCTCCAGAAGATGAGGGTCCAGAGCTGTTCCCCTAAACCCTAGTGCTAGACCAGCCCCCACAGATTCAGGCTTCAGGACTACTCCTGTGTACCCAGATACCACACTGACTCCTGAAACTCTAGGACTTAGGCTTACCTTTGTTAATCTAAGTCAACACACTCAACCTTTATGACAGTACCAGAAACCCCAGGCTCCAGATTAGGCTCAGTGGCTCTAGGCATAACTTTAGCACCCATGATCCTAGGCTCCAAATGAGCCCTGCAGACCATACCACAGCAATATATACACAACCATGTTTATAGCTGCACAGTTTGTAATAGCTAAATTTTGGAAACAGCCCAAATGTCCATCAGCTGGTGATCGGATAAAGATGATGGTGGATTTTTTTTGTTTGTTTTACAAAATGGAGTACTACTCAGCCCTAAAGATAAACTAGAGACATTTATAGCGAAATGGATGTATCTTGAGGCTATACTCTTAAGTGAAATAAATAGGACACACATGTGTAAATACTGAATTGTTTCTCTGATGTGAGAAACCAAAAGTGTAAATGAGGACCAAAATGTGTAACAGATATTGTGAAATAGGAACAAAATATTCAAAGGGAAAGAGGAACAGGGGTGAGAGAAAAAAGAAAAAGAAAAAAAGGAGTAAAGAAGGAAAAAATGGAAACAAAGCTTTTGTAAATAGGGAAGGTGGAGGAGTTGAAGGGAGGGCAGGGGAATGGGAAAAAATAAGAACCAAGATACATCATGTATAAATACAAATTCCCAATGATGAATGTGACCATAATGTATACCTAAAATGCACCAATAAACTTAATGAATACAAAAATTACATGTTCAAGCTAGGAATAACTGTAATTAGAAACATATCAGAAATGACTTAATAGTTACAAATTTATCCCTATAAATTCCAGTATCATCTCAATTGATTTTGAGGTTACCTGAAAAATACAATTTATTTAACTTTGACCTTGTCATCATCAAAGTAAAAAGGGCAACTAAAATGTATTTCAGGACTTCCCTTGTATTAGAATTAACTATTATGCGGAATGGAGCATAATGGTATAATCTTGAGCTTCCCATTAAAATATTTAATAATAATAACTAAATATTATCCTTTGATGGAAATATAACATATTACAGAAGGAATGTTTCTTTAAAAATCAGAGTACCACCAATTTAAAGAAAGATTCAAGAATTCATAAAATTTTACACTGACTTCTCTCTTGATCAACCCTTAATTCTAAGTTTCCCCACTAATAGTAGAGTTTGAAATTGACACTCTACCTGGTAAATGCCAAAGCTGGTATTTACTCCATTACTGATGTTCCAGAAAACTTCTATGAAGTTCATGAAGTTACTGGTTCCCCTACAACTTTTCCTTAGAATAATATTGCCTAGACTTAATGATTCATTTCCTCAAACAAAGTCTTGGCCAGTTTTTAACAAATGTCATAAATTTCCAAAATCTCAGCCTCTCTCCAGCAAATCGCTCATTCGTGTCAATTCTGAGGAAGATAATAGAGTGATGATTCACATTTAAATGTACTTAAAAGGATTTGGCTCAATTTGATCTAAGTAGCATGCTCTCCTTGTCAATTCAAATATGTTCACATCTACTCAAATTTTCATTCTTCATGGAAATTTTTTTCTTTATCAGTGTTTCACATCAAGTTCACAAGTTCACAGCTTTTCAAAATCATACATCCTGAATCAAAGTAAAAATTTCTATGACTGATTCAATTCTTACACAAGTGATTCTGATGATCAACCATCACTGTTTGATGAGAAAGGGTCAGACTCTTAACGTAATTGCTGTCCAACATTTATTTGGTGAGTAAGGCAACCTACAGAAAGGTGTTGTCATCTATAATGTTAGTAATCAAGTTAAATTATGCTTTAGTCACTCCTGTAGAGGTTTTGGAAGGAAGGAAGGAAATATTCTTTGGTATTATTTTAATTCTTCATGGTTAAAACACAAGAATCTGTGTTTTTAAGCAAACTTCTCAGGAGTCTGTTTGGCTGTGATTTTTTAAGACAGGCCCCACTTTTGCAAGCCCCAACTTTACAGAAGTGAACTATTATTGTAGAAATTCCACAGGACCTAGTTTAATTTCTTAAAGATATGGTAAGTATAAGTCCTTTCCTAATATTTCCTCAGTACTGAGATTATTATAACTTTTTATTTCCCTACCTCTTTATCCCTTTTGTGAAGCAATCCTAGATCCTTCATATGGCATGATTTCTGGTCTTTTTAAAATTTGTCTAAAGCTTTGCCATTCGTAAATTTTCTTCAGTACATTCACTTAATGGGGTCATGATAACAGCAAACAAGTAAAATGCGATTGTGTTAGTCATTTTTCTTGTTGCTGAAACAAAATACCCAACACTCAAATTTAAAGGGGGAAAGGTTTATTTAGCTCAGTTTCAGTCCATAATTGGCTGGCTCCAAGGCAGAGTGGCACATGGTAGAGTGGCAACAGTTCATGGCAGACTGAAGGTAGCAAAAGCAACAAGGGGCCTTAACAGCTTTATTCTGCCCCTTTTATACTTTATCTAGGTTACTGGGTTTAGGGCAGTGCCAAATCAGTGGACTGATTTAGTAGTCATACCCTTAATTCTAGCATTGCACCATGAATCAATCACACACTAGATCCAGCCACCTTTGAAAAAGACTGCATGAGGCTTTGAGGGGACATCTAGACACAAGCCATAACAGTCATAAATACCTTTATTTTTAAAGCTGTGGTTAAAAAAATAGAATCTATCATTTCCACCATTTAAAATTGTACTGTTCAGTGATATTCAGTATATTCAGATTCATATTTTGAATATTTATCTATTAATGGAGCCTAAGATGGATTCACAAATGGTTACACTATCCTGCTGACAGAAACAGCTAACTTTTGACTAAAATATATGGTTCTATTTCACTTGAAGCTGATTAAACTGTGTTTTTCCAGGACAGCTATACAGACACTTTGCTGGACTCCCAAACAGACCCAGTATATACTTGTGTTACTCCCACTTAAGATTTCATCTTGTTAGATTCAACTAGTTATTCCAGTATTTCAAGATCTTTTTGGATCCTGAGTTTGTCATCAGGATTGTGGAAGGTGGCTTTCTAAACGAATTACTTAATTAATTTCTCATAGGTCACTCTTATACTGCCAATTCTCCTCAGCCTGCATTTCCCCTAAATTTGACATGGAAATGATGATCATTCCTTTCTAATGTGATACCTGAGGCTTAGAAACATTAGTTTTCTCAAAGTCAAATAGTTAGTAAGCATCAGAGCCAGGACTGAAATCTAAGTCTGCCTAAGATTTCCCTGATAGCTAGTTCTTAAAAAGCTCAAAGTCTTGACTTACAGACTTCCTTTCTAGGTTTGGCAATCATAAGAAACATGCCTGATTTATGAGAGACGCTACATAAATGTTTGTGTAGACTTAGCTACCTCCAACTTCCCATTACTTGAGACATGATTTGAACTCTCAGATGATCAAAGTGTCTTACATGCACGGATGAAAATG